AAACTAACACACCATTGTAAAGCAATTATACCCCAATAAAGATGTTAAAAAAAAAAAGAAAGCTCAAAAAAAAAAAAAAAAAGAGACAAGGAAGGACACAACATAATGATCAAGGGATCAATCCAAGAAGAAGATATAACAATTGTAAATATATATGCACCCAACATAGGAGCACCTCAATACATAAGGCAACTGCTAACAGCTATAAAAGGAACTCGACAGTAACACAATAATAGTGGGAGACTTTTAACACCTCACTTACACCAATGGACAGATCATCCAAAATGAAAATAAACAAGTAAACAGAAGCCAGATAGATTTAATTGATATTTATAGGACATTCCACCCAAAAAGAGCAGATTAAACATTTTTCTCAAGTGCGCACGGAACATTCTCCAGGATAGATCACATCTTGGGTCACAAATCAAGCCTCAGTAAATTTAAGAAAATTGAAATCATATCAAGCATCTTTTCTGACCAAAATGCTATGAGATTAGAAATGAATTACAGCGAAAAAACCATAAAAACACAAACACATGGAGGCTAAACAATATGTTTCTAAATAACCAAGAGATCACTGAAGAAATCAAAGAGAAAATCAAAAAATACCTAGAGACAAATGACAATGAACACACGACAATCCAAAACCTATAGGATGCAGCAAAAGCAGTTCTAAGAGGGAAGTTTATAGCTATACAAGCCTACCACAAGAAACATGAAAAATCTGAAGTAAACAATCTAACCTTACACCTAAAGGAAATAGAGAAAGAAGAACAAACAAAACCCAAAGTTAGCAGAAGGAAAGAAATCATAAAGATCAGAGAAGAAATAAATGAAATAGAAACAAAGAAAACAATAGCAAAGATCAATAAAACTAAAAGCTGGTTCTTGGAGAAGATAAACAAAATTGAGAAACCATTAGCCAGACTCATCAAGAAAAAGAGGACTCAAATCAATAAAATTAGAAATGAAAAAGGAGAAGTTACAACAGACACTGAAGAAATACAGAGCATCCTAAGAGACTACTACAAGCAACTCTATGCCAATAAAATGGACAACCTGGAAGAAATGGACAAATTCTTAGAAAGGTATAACCTTCCAAGACTGAACCAGGAAGAAATAGAAAATATGAACAGACCAATCACAAGTAATGAAATTGAAACTGTGATTAAAAATCTTCCAACAAACAAAAGGCCAGGACCAGATGGCTTCACAGGTGAATTCTATCAAACGTTTAGAGAAGAGCAAACACCCATCCTTCTCAGACTCTTCCAAAAAATTGCAAAGAAAGGAACACTCCCAAACTCATTCTATGAGGCCACCATCACCCTGATACCAAAACCAGACAAACATACTGCAAAAGAAGAAAATTACAGACCAATATCACTGATGAACACAGATGCAAAAATCCACAACAAAATACTAGTAAACAGAATCCAGCAACACATTAAAAGGATCATACACCATGATCAAGTGGGATTTATCCCAGGGATGCAAGGATTCTTCAATATACACAAATCAATCAATGTGATACATCATATTAACAAATTGAATTATAAAAACCATATGATCATCTCAATAGATGCAGAAAAAACTTTTCACAAAATTCAACACCCATTTATGATAAAAACTCTCCAGAAAGTGGGCAAAGAGGGAACTTACCTCAACATAATAATGGCCATATACGACAAACCCACAGTAAACATCATTCTCAATGGTGAAAAACTAAAACCATTTCCTCTAAGATCAGGAACAAGACAAGGTTGTCCAGTCTTACCACTATTATTCAACATATATTTGGAAGTCCTAGCCATGGCAATCAGAGAAGAAAAAGAAATAAAAGGAATACAAGTTGGAAAAGAAGAAGTAAAACTGTCACTGTTTGCTGATGACATGATACTATACATAGAGAATTCTAAATATGCCACCAGAAAACTACTAGAGCTAATCAATGAATTTGGTAAAGTTGCATGATACAAAATTAATGCACAGAAATCTCTTGCATTCCTATACACTAATGATGAAAAATCTGAAAGAGAAATTAAGGAAACACTCCCATTTACCACTGCAACAAAAAGAATAAAATACCTAGGAGTAAACCTACCTAGGGAGACAAAAGACCTGTATGCAGAAAACTATAAGATACTGATGAAAGAAATTAAAGATGATACCAACAGATGGAGAGATATACCATGTTCTTGGACTGGAAGAATCAATATTGTGAAAATGACTCTACTACCCAAAGCAAGCTACAGATTCAACACAATCCCTATCAAATCACCAATGGCATTTTTTACGGAACTAGAACAAATCATCTTAAAATTTGTATGGAGACACAAAAGACCCCAAATAGCCAAAGCAGACTTGAGGGAAAAAAAACGGAGCTAGAGGAATCACACTCCCTGTCTACAGATTATACTACAAAGCTACAGTAATCAAGACAATATGGTACTGGCACAAAAACAAAAATATAGATCAATGGAACAAGATAGAAAGCCCAGAGATAAACCCATGCACCTATGGTCAACTAATCTATGACAAAGGAGGCAAACATATACAATGGAGAAAAGACAGCTCTTCAATAAGTGGTGCTGGGAAAACTGGACAGGTACATGTAAAAGAATGAAATTAGAACACTCCCTAACACCATACACAAAAATAAACTCAAAATGGATTCAAGACCTAAGTGTAAGACCGGACACTATAAAACTCTGAGGCAAACATAGGAAGTACACTCTTTGACATAAATCACAGCAAGATCTTTTTTGATCCACCTCCTAGAGTAATGGAAATAAAAACAAAAATAAACAGATGGGACCTAATGAAACTTCAAAGCTTTTGCACAGCAGAAGAAACTATAAACAAGATGAAAAAGACAACCCTCAGAATGGGAGAAAATATTTGCAAACGAATCAACAGACAAAGGATTAATCTCCAAAATATACAAACAGCTCATGCAGCTCAATATTAAAGAAACAAATAACCCAATCCAAAAATGGGCAGAAGACCTAAATAGACATTTCTCTTTAGAAGACATACAGACGGCCAAGAAGCACATGACAAGCTGCTCAACATCACTAATTATTAGAGAAATGCAAATCAAAACTACAATGAGGTATCACCGCACAATAGTTAGAATGGGCATCATCAGAAAATCTACAAAGAACAAATGCTGGAGAGGGTGTGGAGAAAAGGGAACCCTCTTGCACTGTTGGTGGGAATGTAAATGGATACAGCCAGTATGGAGAACAGTATGGAGGTTCCTTAGAAACTAAAAATAGAATTACCATACGATCCAGCAATCCCATTACTGGGCATATACCCAGAGAAAACCATAATTCAAAAAGAGACATGCACCCCAATGTTCACTGCAGCACTATTTACAATAGCCAGGTCATGGAAGCAACCTAAATGCCCATCGACAGATGAATGGATAAAGAGGTTGTGGTACATATATACAATGGAATTATTACTCAGCCATAAAAAGGAATGAAATTGAGTCATTTGTAGAGACGTGGATGGATCTAGAGACTGTCATACAGAGTGAAGTAAGTCAGAAAGAGAAAAACAAATATTGTGTATTAACGCATGTATGTGGAACCTATACAAATGGTACGATGAATCGGTTTGTAGGGCAAAACTTGAGACACAGATGTAGAGAACAAACGTATGTACACTAAGGAGGGAAAATCGCGGTGGGGTGGGGATGTTGGTGTGGTGAATTGGGCGATTGGGATTAACATGTATACACTAATGTGTATAAAATTGATGACTAATAAGAGCCTGCAGTATTAAAAAACTAATAGAAAACAACTAATACTAAACTTTCTTTGGGTTATTTGTATGGAAATATGTTAATATAAATGTTTCAGACACTACATGAAATTTCTAAAAATCTTCTATGTTATAAGTCATAGTTCTAGTTATTACTTTAAAATATGTATCTCAGAAATAACTAAAAAAAGTAAATAAAAATAAAACATAGGTCAAGTTTATATTTCCAGAAAGTTTCCTTGGTTTACATTTCTCTTACTGTAAAATATGAACAAGTCTTCTTCCATGTAGAAGTAGTTAACAGAGGTAGATTTGGATTGAGTAGAGATTAAAATTTTTTATACAAGACTAATGGCTCAAAAATATGTTTTACTGATGGCATCTTAGTTTAGAAACACAATCTTTGTATTTTTTTTTTCTTTTTTTTTTTTTTTGCGGTACGCGGGCCTATCACTGTTGTGGCCTCTCCCGTTGCGGAGCACAGGCTCCGGACGCCCAGGCTCAGCAGCCATGGCTCACGGGCTCAGCCGCTCTGCGGCATGTGGGATCTTCCCGGACCGGGGCACAAACCCGTGTCCCCTGCATCGGCAGGTGGACTCTCAACCACTGCGCCACCAGGGAAGCCCTATACCTTTTTTTATTCTGAATGTATAAGTTAGCCAAGCAATGAAGCAGCCTTGGGTACCATAAAACTAGGACTGTGCTTATGTCACTAAAAATGGAGGAAGTGGTCATTGAATAAATACCAAATATTATAGTTTACCAGAGACGGTCACTTAGTTATTTGTCCAGAAATTTGTTTCATTTCAAAACATTTTGGGGCTTTCATAAAGGCATTTGGGAGACTCATGAGCAGACTGACCTCCTTGGGGCAGAGGGATATCTGACGAGTGTTGAGACTAAGGAATAACTTTCAAAGTGAAGATAGAATGGATAGTGCATAATCAAAATAGCTAAACTATGCTATGGATTTGGCATAAGGTTATCAGTTGATGACGCCTAAAGGAAATATGCACATTTTGAGGGAGAAGGAACTATTCTAATTATAATGCCCAGGTAGCTTTTTATATACACATTCACTTATATCTCTATGTGTATGAATTGTTACCTCATGGAACTCCATACTGTTATAAGTTATAGATAAATATTTGAGATCTTTTAAGGTTAAATCAAGACTATGATGCTTGTAGAATAAAAAATTAAATGTAGTAGAGTTTTAATATTACCTTTTAGATTATATCATGAACTTCAAGAATGCTCTAAAGCCTGAGATTTCTACAGACTTGCTTTCAGATCCCACCTTTGAAGAAAACTTCAGCAGTGTGATAACTGTTGCCCAGGATCACTCTTGAAAACCTACAAGAACATGGCAGTATTTACTTTTTTCAAAAGGAGCTTAGAGTTTGTCACAATAACAAGTTATTAAATTTATCTTGTTCAAAAAAATCTTATAATTGCACAGGACTAAGCTTAAAACTTCAGCCAAGAGACTACAGTAACAGAAGTCGACCTTCTCCTAGTTTCCATGGAAATAACATTAAAGAAAATAAGTGTATTTATTTTTTAATGGACTTCTGATTCTACAAGGCTATTGAAAACTATAAAACTAGATAATAAACTTAATGACTGAAAGAGGAAACATGACATTGATTTCTCTAGGGCAGCAGTTCACAGAAGGAGGGGTTATTTTCCCTCCTTCCCCCAGGACATTTAACACTGTCTGGAGACACTTTTGGTTGTCACAAGTAGGAGTACGTAGTGTTTGCCACCGGTATCTAAATGGTTAGAACCAGGGACATTGCTGGTGTCAATGTACAATGCACAGTACAGTCCTCCCCTGATGATGCTCCCTTGACAAAAAAGTATCTAGTACAAAATGTTGAGAGTGACCATGTTGAGAGACCCTGGTTTAGAAGTTTCTATATTACTTTTACTTCTTCATAACTAACAGTATATTTAAAATATTGTAATTTTACTGGGATAGATTTTTATAATGAGGAAAATAATAAAAAATAGTGGCAATTTTCTCATGATAAAATAGTAATACAATAGAATGAGAGAATATTATGAATAATGGTATGCAAATAAATTTGAAAATTTGGATGAAAAATGGAAAAAATAGGGGCAAATATTCAGACTTAAAAATTTAGATAATACATTCATATAATTGTTTTGCCTGTTTACTAGATATGTGACCTTAATTAGGTTACAGAACCTATGTCTTTGTTTCCTCTTTAAAAAAGGATTTTGTGAGAATTAGGACATTATGCATATGAAAGGACTTAGCATAGTGCTTGATAAATATAAAACATTGAGTATTTTGTGAAGAAATGAAATAAATATTTATTAATTTATTTCTAAAACAAACACCATTTTATTTAAAGGTTATGTCATACCAGCTGAAAAAGAAAGCAAGTTAGGCAATTTAATGCTAATTTTTTTTGACACCTAAGGGGAGATCTTTGGAGATACATAACTGTGATCAGAGCAAAGGTCAAGTGCTTTCTAGTCATCAGTTGTACGAACTGTGGCATTTCTTATTAACAATGAAGAAAATGCCCCTTTTCAGAGTAAAGCTGCCTATATACAGGACATAATTCAAACTGAAGGATTCGAACAGATTTTTGCCTCCACCTATAACGTAACAAGAAAGGTAAGCTAAAGAACAAGACACTATTTGATAGATGAGTTCATTTGTGGTTTGAAAACTAGTTGTTTAGGATCAAATCATAAGTGGAGCATTCTCAGGCAGAGGTAATTTTAGTTACATAGAGAGTGCTTGAGATTCATCATCATATTCCCACATAATTCATTCCCTTTAGAGTATACTGGGAATTGATCAACAGCTGTGGGCAAACTCATTGTGGTAGGATTCTCTAAACAGCAGATCAAACTATTTTTGCCAGTTTTATTGCCTACTCTTTCATTCCTGTGCTTTTGTATTATGGAAACCTCCAACTTCAGAGCCAATGTTTTGGGCTTTCTATCCACCAATGAACTACAAATTCATCAATAATTCAGTTGCGAAGCACTTTGCTGCTATCATGTAAACAACACTTTGGGTAACTATGGCCCATCTCTTCTAGTTTGTTTTGTATAATGTCACTAATACGGCTTAACACGTGATAGAAAAAGAAAAAAACTAAGTCAGCCAGGCAATGTGATAATTTTCACACAATGGAGTGATATTTATCATTTCATTACTTGAGTCAAATGATTCTTCCTGTTTTACTCTGAGTCTAGTTGAAAAAGAGATATGCGGCTCCAGCTTCGTTAGACAGATGTGATGACATTAATAAAGTATTTTAGAAAATTTCTTCACAGAAAATTATTTTCTATGACCAATCTGCTCCTCATTTCTTTGGAGACTTCTAAGTGATAACTCCAAAAGTTACTGGGATAGAAAGAAAAGCAATGTCAATACTTCTCTGGTCATTAAAATAAAACATGCTTCGATAAAAATTTCCTTTACACAGGGTAAAAGTCACTACTCATATATGTCCTATTTGGCCTAAATTTTCATGACTATAACGTAACTGGCTATCTGGAATTACCCCAAACTGTACTACACTCATTTTAAACCACAGGAATTGAAGACTATGTATAGTATGTGGCTTATCTTGATCATCCTCTATGATTCCATAAAACCTCAGACCACAAGGAAAAAGGACCATTACATTGACAACTCCAGCCTTGAACATATTTCACGTGGGAGATTTCTCTTTTTTTTTCTTAACAGCTTTATTGGAGTATAATGGCTTTACAATGGTGTGTTAGTTTCTGCTTTCTAACAGAGTGAATCAGCTATACATATACATATATCCCCATATCTCCTCCCTGTTGCGTCTCCCTCCCGCCCTCCCTATCCCACCCCTCTAGGTGGTCACAAAGCACTGAGCTGATCTCCTTGTGTTATGTGGCTGCTTCCCACTAGTTATCTGTTTTTCATTTGGTAGTGTATATATGTCCATGCCACTCTCTCATTTCGTCCCAGCTTAACCTTCCCCTCCCCGTGTCCTCAAGTCCATTCCCTACGTCAGTGGCTTTATTCCTGTCCTGCCCCTAGGTTCTGCATAACCAATTTTTTTTTTTAGATTTCATATATATGGTAGCATACGGTATTTGTTTTTCTCATTCTGACTTACTTCACTCTCTATAACAGAATCTAGGTCCATCCACCTCACTACAAATAACTCAATTTCGTTTCTTTTTCTGGCTGAGTAATATTTCACTGTATATATGTCCCACATCTTCTTTATCCATTCATCTGTCGATGGGCATTTAGGTTGCTTCCATGTCCTGGCTATTGTAAATAGTGCTGCAGAACATTCTGATACATGACACTTTTTGAATTATGGTTTAATCAGGGTATACGCCCAGTAGTGGGATAGCTGGGTTGTACGGTACTTCTACTTTTAGTTTATAAAGGAACCCCCATACTGTTCTCCATAGTGGCTGTATCAATTTACATACCCACCAACAGTGCAAGAGGGTTCCCTTTTCTCCACACCCTCCCCAGCATTTATTGTTGGTAGATTTTTTGATGATGGCCATTCTGACTGGTGTGAGGTGATACGTCATTGTAGTTTTGATTTGCATTTCTCTAATGATTACTTGTGTTGAGCATCCTTTCACGTGTTTGTTGGCAATCTGTATATGTTCTTTGCAGAAATGTCTCTTTAGGTCTTCTGCATTTTTGGATTAGGTTGTTTGTTTTTTTGATATTGAGCTGCATGAGCTGCTTATAAATTTTGGAGATCAATCCTTGTCAGTTGCTTCATTTGCAAATACTTTCTCCCATTCTGAGGGTTGTCTTTTCATCTTGTTTATGGCTTCCTTTGCTCTGCAAAAGCTTTGAAGTTTCATTAGGTCCCATTTGTTTATTTTTGGTTTTATTTCCATTTCTCTAGGAGGTGAGTCAAAAAGGATCTTGCTGTAATTTATGTCATAGAGTGTTCTTCCTATGTTTTCCTCTAAGAGTTTCGTAGTGTCTGGTCTTAAATTTAGGTCTTTAATCCAGTTTGATTTTATTTTTCTATGGTGTTAGGGAGTGTTCTAATTTCATTCTTTTACATATAGCTGTCCAGTTTTCCCAGCACCACTTATTGAAGAGGCTGTCTTTTCTCCATTGTATATTCTTGCCTCCTTTATCAAAAATGTGACCATATGATATGTGTCTGGGTTTATCTCTGGGCTTTCTATCCTGTTCCATTGATCTATATTTCTGTTTTTGTGCCAGACCATACTGTCTTGATGACTGTAGATTTGTAGTATAGTCTGAAATCCGGGAGCCTTATTCTACCAGCTCCATTTTTGTTTCTCAAGATTACTTTGGATATTTGGGGTCTGTTGTGTTTCCATACAAATTATGAAATTTTTTTTCTAGTTCTGTGAAAAATGCCATTGGTAGTTTGATAGGGATTGCAGTGAATCTGTAGATTGCTTTGGGTAGTAGAGTCATTTTCACCATGTTGATTCTTCCAATCCAAGAACATGGTATATCTCTCCATCTGTTTGTATCATCTTTAATTACTTTCATCAGTGTCTTATAGTTTTCTGCATACAGGTCTTCTGTCTCCTTAGGTCGGTTTATTCCTAGATATTTTATTCTTTTTGTTCCAATGGTAATGGGAGTGTGTCCTTAATTTCTCCTTCAGATTTATCATCATTAGTGTATAGGAATGCAAGAGATTTCTGTGCATTAATTTTGTATCCTGCTATTACACTGAATTCATTGATTAGCTCTAGTAGTTTACTGGTAGCATCCTTAGGATTCTCCATATATAGTATTATGTCATCTGCAAACAGTGACAGCTTTACTTCTTCTTTTCCAGTTTGGATTCCTTTTATTTCTTTTTCTCCTCTGATTGCTGTGGCTTAAACTTCCAAACCTATGTTGAATAATAGTGGTGAGAGTGGGCAACCTTGTCTTATTCCTGATCTTAGTGGAAATGATTTCAGTTCTTCACCACTGAGAATGATGTTGGCTGTGGGTCTGTCATATATGGACTTTATTATGTTGAGGTAAGTTCCCTCTATGCCTACTTTCTGGAGGGTTTTTATTATAAATGGGTATTGAATTTTGTTGAAAGCTTTCTCTGCATCTATTGAGATGATCATATGGTTTTTCTCCTTCAGTTTGTTAATATGGTGTATCACATTGATTGATTTGCATATACTGAAGAATCCTTGCAATCCTAGGATAAACTCCATTTGATTATGGTGTATGATCCTTTTAATATGCTGTTGGATTCTGTTTGCTAGTATTCTGTTGAGGATTTTTGCATCTATGTTCATCAGTGATATTGGCCTGTAGTTTTCTTTTTTTTGTGACATCT